AGGGGCCGCCCCCCCCCCCCCCAATTATCATTCTGGCTACGGCACTGCAACCAAGCAAATGGTTGAGCCATTTTGAAACATTACATTCGGAACATCAATTAAGCAAGCAACAACACACGATTATTGAACGAATGTCTGAAAGACTACGAAAAGATAAAAGAAAATCCATAAATCTGGAAATTCCCTCGATCCCAATAACTATAGAGGTATTTGTGTCTCAAGCTGCATGGGCAAATTATTCTGCTCAATTATGAACATTCATAAAATTCGTCGAAAAATTGATTTTCATAAACTCTCGCCAAAAACAGTTAATAAAATTTTTACTCCATTATTTCTCCCATTCTACTATACAACCAGAAGTCTGGGGAGCATATGAAAAAAATGATCTCAACAATCTAAGATTCTGCAAGCTATATCTGGGTAGAAAACCAAGCAATATGGCTTGCAGAAGTGAACTTGGGAGGTTATCCACTTCTGATTTCAATAAAAAAGAATATAATCTATTTTAAACACATTTTCAAATTATGTATCGATCAATTCGAAACTTCACCATCCCCCCGGGCCAACCCCCGGATTTGAACTTTTTGAAATTTGACTGATGAAATTCTCCACCCCCTGTGCAAAAAATGTATTCAAATGCCCCACTGTAACAAGAAATTAAGTGTTCAAATGCCCCACCTTCATATAAAAATTATGAAACAGTAAATACAAAAAGTACAAAATATACGGAAATGTTTTTTGACAAGATAGCGAAATTCACGTAAAAAGTTTGGATACTTTGTGGAAATTTAACAGTTTTACACAATTATGTAGTACATATCTTCAAATGAAGCACACAGATTTTCCATGCCCATTTCTTTGAGCCAGTTTTTCACAAAATTGAGGCTGTTACCCTCGAAATCTGAGAAAACTGTATTTGCCGCCAATGCAAAGTATTTTCTGTGCATGCAGGAAGCACACGAAAATGGGCAAAATTCTGGTTCAAATTCCCCACACCGTTATCAAATGCCCCACCACATGGATGATCTAGAACGTCAAATTCCTACTCCTGGAGAAGACTTGAAGTCAAATTCCCAGGGTATGCCTGGGAGGGGGGGATGATGAAGTTTTAAATTAATCGGTACATTAGATGACAACTCGATCATTAAACAATTCTTCCAAATGTCTAAGCAACTATATAATCAAGGCAATCTTTCTACACCAACACAATGAACATGCTAATATAATTCTATGATAATACAACAAACCTAGAATGTGATATAATCAGTTATGCTACAATAAGATGAAAGATAAATATTTTGAATTTTTGCATCATAAAATTATAAGGTGGTAGTCTGCCCTAAAATTTCAGGAACAGTTTAAAGTTTTAAAATATTTTTTGGCTTTATTTATTTCTTAAACTATTATATTTTCACTTCATGGTGTTTTCATTTAGATATTTTAAACATTTTCGTCAAAATATCCATTTATGTAGATTCAATTCTGCTTAGCAACAGTTTCTTTTTACTATGTTTACTTTGGTTGCTAAGGGGTTTTTTCATCCAAAATTATAATGCAAACCCCCCTCAATAGTACAAAGGCATTCCCCCTCCTGAAATATGCATCGTCTTGCTCGATCCATGCCTCTTAAACCAACGCAATAGCATTTTGTTGAGGATTGCATTATGGTGATTTTTGAGGAGTGATGGTAAATAATAAACAATCCCTTTCAATCGAAGTCTTTAAACTCATTAAGTCTTATTAAGTCTCATGCACCCTGGATGGGCTATTAGTAAAACCAGGAACACGAAACACCGGAACACTAAAAATTCTTAATTTGTTAAAAATTCGGAAAAAAAAACCCGGGGGGGTGTGAAAGTATTGCTGCAATAATTATTGCGTAAAACGTGCCTTTCTGACTGATAGCTACTATTAAAAATAACGAGCAGAAATCCTCGGCAGAAATCAGTCTCAAAGTAATAAATATTTGCCCGAAAAATAGAAATCAAACCTAGAATTGGCAATTGATAAAACTAGAATAGTGAAGCGAATAGTACGAATAGTCCGCAAATAGTTGATGAATAGTACGAATAGTCCACGAATAATAGACGAATAGTGCGAATAGTCCGAGAATAGTCGACGAATTGTGCGAATAGTCCGCGAATAGTTGACGAATAGCACGAATAGTCCGCGAATAGTCGACGAATAGCACAAATAGTCCGCGAATAGTCTGCGAATAGTCGACGAATAGTACGAATAGTCCGCGAATAGGCGACGAATAGTGCGAATAGTCGACGAATAGTGCAATAGAGACTTTGCAATGTTTTGCAGCACTGCTGTAGAACTAAATTTACCGGAGGGGGGTGGCTCTGTTGACAAACATGAAATCGTGAAAACAATTCGATGTACGTCAATGACGTCATACGTAATCGGTAAAAATTACGGGAACCACGGAGTATTTTAATAAAATATAAAACAACGGTAACTTCGAAAATAAACATTTTAATATTGTAGCTTTCGACTAAAATTCAGCCATCGTCAGGAAACATATTTGATATTTTTTAGAATTTATAATCATTCCTGATGGTAAAGTGGTAACCATATGAGTCATAAATTTTACTGATGGAATTTTATAGGAATTTTACCTGTAAGTTATGGCGTTGTAACTGAAGATTTGAGGGCTTAAGTGATTTCGTGTGCTTGGAAAACATGATTTACATCACCAAACAAGAGAAGGTATCGATTTATTATTTAAGCCTGTTTTGGGGCGAATTTGTTCGCGCGAAACGAAAACCAAATTTCGGCAATGTGATTGGTCAGCGAAAAAATTCGCCGCGAAAAAGTTGGATCAGTTCCTACTCTTTTACATGTCGCTTCGCGCGAACAAATTCGCCAAGTGGAAAACGTCATTCTAGTGATTGTCATCAGTGGCGCCGTGGCAGTGGGGGGGGGGGCCTGGCCCTCCCCTATTGTTGACAGCCGTCGGAAAATTGCCAATGCTGCCGGAAATTGTCGGAAAATTGTCAAGGCTGTCGGAAATTGTCAAAGTTGTCAGGGGGAGGGGAAACTTCTTGGTTTGTCGGAAAAAAAATTCTGCTTGTCTGAAAAGTACTGCCCTTGATCCCCCCCCAAAAAAACATGGGTCCCGCGGCGCCACTGATTGTCATTCTACTTCCTGTTAAATATTTGTTAAAACTCAGTGGTCCCGTAATTTTTACCGAATATGTATGACGTCATTGACATCAACAAATGTTTTCACAATTTCATGTTTGTCAATAGAGCCCCCCCCGCTTCAGTAAATTTAGTTCTACAGCACGGTGGAAAGCCTTGCAAAGTCTCTATTGCACTATTCGTCGACTATTTCGTACTATTCGTCGACAATTCGCACTATTCGTCGACTATTTGCGGACTATTCGTCGACTATTCGCTTCACTATTCCAGTTTTAGCAATTGCCACCTAGAATTGTTATTTGTTGAGAATATTGAATTGCCCATCTTTGTTTGTTGTTTAAAATATGACAATCAAAATATTAAAGTAAACAACAGTTGATTGGCTTCCTTGTTTTTACCGACTTAGCTGCTCTTGAAGTGCAAAAGGATATTAAATTTTCAATTCTCGTTCGAAGTTGGTATTTAGCATCACTTTAATACAGACAGTCCTTTAATATTGATCCTTTCTCACACGAAATATTTACGAGAATTGAAAATTTAATGTCCTTTTGCACTTCAAGAGTAGCTAAGTCGGTAAAAACAAGGAAGCCAATCAACTGTTGTTACTTTAATATTTTGATTGTCATGTTTTCAACAACAAACAAAGATGGGCCATTCAATATTCTCAACAAATAACAATTCTAGGTTTGATTTCTATTTTTCGGGCAAATATTTATTACTTTGAGACTGATTTCTCGCTCGAAGTAAGAACTTAAGTAAGAACTCGTCCAAACCCCTTCGTGACAGAAGAGATTCGAGGGCTAATCAAAACTAGAGATCGATGGAGAAAACTAGCTCGAAAGACTGGTGATCCTGCTGCATGGTCTGCTTACAGGAACTGTAAACGGGATGTTAAACGAGAGTTACGTATGGCCCAAAGATCTTTTGTCGAACAGGAAATTAGGAAAAACACCAAGGACACTGGCAACATGTGGAAAGTAATTTGCACTTGTATTCCAAAGAAATCTACCGGGAAAAAATGCTTCAGCAGTGACGATAAATCTGTGGCGAATAACTTCAACCAGTTCTTTACATCAGTTGGTTCAAATTCTGTCACGAAAATCAAATCACTAGCTAAAGAAAACAATTACACTCCATCTCAGTTACCATTTGTCCCGCGAAGTTATACTGAGTCAGAACAGTTCACCTTCGAACCCGTAGAATGCTCCCTAGTGGAATATATTGTGACATCAATGCCAGATAACAAAGCTCCAGGAATCGACAAAATACCGATCCGTGTCATTAAGGACTGTTTACCCGTTATTTCGCCATGGATAACCTCAATCATAAACAACTCTCTGGCGAACAATATATTCCCGAATACTTGGAAAATCGCGGAAGTAACTCCCATTCCAAAAGAAGGTGATCATGAGTTGGCGAACAATAACCGACCCATTTCCCTATTACCAGTTCTATCAAAAGTATGTGAGCGTGTAGCACTCCACCAACTGACGTCTTACCTAACCACCAATCACCGTGTCTCTGTGCATCAAAGTGGCAACAAAACCTGGCATTCAACGGAAACCTCCCTTATTCATTCCACCGACTCTATTCTAAAAGCAATTGACCAGAAGAAAGTAACAGCAGTTATTCTTTTGGACATGAGCAAAGCTTTTGACAGCATTAACCATAATATACTCTGCTTGCTAAATTGGAGGACGTTGGTGTCTCATCTAGATGCCTGGGTTGGTTTAAAAGTTACCTCAGCGAGAGATACCAAGCAGTACGTATCAACTCTGCTCTATCTGAGAAATTGCCAGTTGTTAGCGGTGTCCCACAGGGAAGTATTCTGGGCCCGTTACTTTTCAGTATTTATGTGAATGATTTGCCGTCAGTCGCCAAAAATTGTTCATCAGAATCGTATGTTGATGACACCAAACTCCTTCTGTCCTTCCGAATCGATGACTCGAACATTGCGCTGACTGATCTAAACGAGGATTTGATTAGAATGCGAAACTGGTGTTTTGATAACCTGCTCTTGCTGAATCCAGACAGAACTAAATTGATGGTCTACGGAAGCCGCCAAATGCTCGCGAAGTTACCTGATTTTAGACTCTCGCTACTTGGTAAGCAACTAACACCTGCTTCATCAGTGAAAGATCTCGGAGTTAAGTTTGATCCAATCCTCTCCTTCGACAATCATATCCTTTCTACTGTTTCATCCTGCAAGTCAAGTCTCTGCCAGATAAATCGCGCTAAGCATGTCTTCCATAAAAACCTTTTAATAACTGTCATCAACGCCTTAGTATTTAGCAAACTCTACTATTGTTCCTCGCTTTGGTCAAATACTTCCTGCAGCAACCTATCCCGACTTCAAGGAGTCCAGAACTTCGCAGCACGAGTAGTGAGCAACAGAAGGAAATTTGACCACATCACCCCGATACTTAAGGAACTGCGCTGGTTTCCCGTGAAGTCACATCTGTACAGTCGCGATGCTTTATTAGCTTTCAAATGCATGAATGATTGCGCACCTGCCTACTTATCGTCTCAGTTCAAAACGAGAGGTGAAGTGAGTGGTCGCGATACTAGAAATACTAAACAGTTGGACGTTCCGTTATACAGATCAACTGCAGGACAAAGAACATTCCATTACAGAACTGTCACTCCCTGGAACAACATTAACCCTGACTTAAAACTTTGCAAATCTATTCCAAGCTTTAAAATTAAACTGAAACGGGAACTGCTTCAGCAATTTCTAGATAGTTAGCCTAAGGGCATGTTTTTCTGTTGTCGTTGTTATTGTCGTTGATGTTGTTGTTGTTGTTGTTGTTGTTTTTGCTGTCGTTGTTGATGACGTTGATGTACGTTGTATGCTGCTGTTGTTAATCTTGTTGTCAAAATTTTGATGTTGTGTTTGTGTATAAAGTAATTGCGTGATCTTATTATATAAATTTAGGATCTGATGTATTATTATAGTAATTAATTGATATGTATATATATTTTTGTCACTGAAAAGCCCCTTTAGGGGAGTGTCAATAAAGTCAATAACAACAATAACAATTTCTGCCAAGGATTTCTGTTCGTTATTTTTAATAGTAGGTATTGGTCAGAAAGGAGAAAGGCACGTTTTACGCAATAATTATTGCACACACCCCGGTATTTTTTTTCCGAATTTTTAACAAATTAAGAATTTTTAGTGTTCCGGTGTTCCGGAATGATGCTGTTCCGGTGTTTCGGTGTTCCTGGTTTTACTAATATAGCCCCCTGGACGACACATCAACTTTCTGGACACGATTGTCTAGCGCATATTTGTCGGGTTGCCTAGCAACGGTCATGAGTATAAAGTGCAAAATTCGGGCTTTCAAATGATAGGTGATGCGAGAAAATTGATCAAAAGTTTGCAAAAATTGATCAAAAGTTTCACAAGATAGGACTTTGCAGCAAGTTTTAAGGATAAAAAAGAAGATGTTTTTAAAGAGTTTTACATATAAAATATATTGTAAAACATAAGGGAGTGTGCATATGTTTCAAGTCAAGTTCTTATCCAAATCAAGTCGTGGGATTTTCAGCCAGAAAAACAGCAATTTCTTTCAACCTAACAGAAAAGTGAAGTGGGAAATCACAAGAAACATGAACAATAATGACAGGAATTTGAAAAGCTTCTAAAATACACTTTATTGCTTCATATACCCCATAAAATTTTTAAATCAATAAAGCACATCATAAAATTAATGTACGCTCATTTTCTAAGAAGTACTCATCGATTACCTGAAGGAAAAGTTTAAAATAGGTCAGGACAGTAGTTTACAAAATGCCGTTCTCCTCTGAAATGGCTTCTTTTGCAGGAAGCCATTAAATTTATGTACTTCCCAAAATTGTAATTTAGCCGCTTTTTTGGTCTCATTGTTCACTTATTTATCATGGAATTACTTTGCTTGAGCTCTTTTAATAATATCTGCAAGATACTTTGCTATTTGGTGAAATAAAAGCTACATTTTTAGCAGTTTATCTTTTGAAAACTGCATGCGCAACAAAGTGTCACCAATGTGTAGATAAGATGAAAGACTTTATTTCACTCTTTTATAGCAATCTAAAATACCTAAATATATCAGATGATTAATTTTATTTGAGCATACATATTATATTTTTATACAATTGGTCCTTGAAAAGGACTTATTTCAAGCTAGAGTCAGATTTGAAACTAGAGTCAGATTTCAAAAGAAACCGCCTGTCTGACATTTTACAGCAATCTACATTGGCATGCACAACCGTTTTAGCCACAAATCCATTGTTTTCTTAACAGAAACAAAAGGAATTTCAGTTAAAATTCTTACCTGATGAATATTCAAAAGTGTTTATCTCTTTTTGACGACTTTCAGTGCTCTTAATAGCGAAATAAAAAGCCTTTTGTTTTGTCACCGCACGCTGCGTTTGAAAATGCCAGCTGTCAAAGTCAGAATTGAAAACACCTCAAATATTTTAAAATTTTCTCACCTTTTTCATCCTTTGTTTATATTTTAATTAGTAATTTTTGTACTTCGTGTTTTTCCAAACATATTTGAGGTATTTAAAAACTTCAAAGAGGTACAAACATTGTGTTTTTGGGTTACAGAGTTTTTAGACTTGAACAACAAGTTCTGAAGTTCAAGTTCTCCATTGTAAACTAGATGTCCTGAGTGTGCCTGAGCTATGCCCAAGCAAATTTTTATAGCGTTTCATTATTTTGTAATTTATACCCTACAAGATGAAAACTAATTTGAAAATAAATGTGTACCAATCCAGGAATCAAAAAATATTTCTCCATTTATGTTGGGTTATTGAATTATTGCCCTTCAGATGTTGGGTGTCATGAAGAAACAAAATGTCAGAGATTTAAAATTTACACAAACCAAGAATTCTCACCCAAAAGTCTAATGATATATTTAAGTGTGGGAGCTCATTTAAAATAGAATTGATTAATCATTTATCATTTTAACCCACTGCCAAATTTCAAGGTTTTTTTATAACATTGATCTTGAGATATGGGTATCTTTGTAAAAGCAGTTGACAGAAGTTGACAGTAACTAAAATTCGGCATTTTCCTTGCAACTTGGGGAGTGCCAATGTTGCAACAGTCTGCAACTTAATGAGTTAAAAGTATTTTCATGGGGTTTTATGCGCTAGAAATAAAGAATAATTATGGAACAAAGCTAAGATAGGTAACAGGAAAGAAAATAAATGGTTATATTGATAAATACACACAAGAAAGAGCTAAAAAGTTCAGTAATGGTGCTGCTGCCATAATGGCTATCTTTGTAGTTATTCAGCTGTCAGGGACAATCTTGCCACTATTTGTGTGTCTGGTTGTAACTATGTGTCGTAAAAAGACTACTAAGCACTACTGTTGAGAAAATGAGAACAGGAACGGATGGATTACAAACTCCAAGGCATGAAAATATTTGGCCTTTATGCAGCATCATCAGAAATTGATCATGAAATTGCAACATGATTCAAGTTGCAGGATGATGTCCTATGGACATCTAAGGACTAATGGTTGGGAACCTAGTTGGCGGCTACCAGTTATGGTGGTAAGCCGGGTTGGTGGGTCACCAATGTGAGTCACAGATGTTTGCCTTTATATCCGATTTGGTCATGAAGTATTATTAATGGATTTATAATATATTATAACAAAGAAAGCATCAGTTCTCCCTTATCCAAATGAAAAAGGCCGGTAAAAGCCATGATGATTGGTAGCTCTTGCAAGAAGCTGGTCTGCTGTTGAAGGTTGCTTGGGAAACGAGGGATGCAGCAAGACGACTTCAGGGAAGATGGTTGTCTGCATTACTGTTGCAGTAACTGGTAGATGTACAGCAGCTACTAATCAAGTGTGAAAATGATGAAGTTTAAATGATGTACTTAAGATCAGTTTTTCGTGACAACCCTATAAATAGTGAGCAAGAGCAATAACATACTTCTATATATACACTCTAGTTGCTATTCATTTTCCCATTTTGTTATAGTTCTATATTGTTTCAAGTCTAGTATAGATCATGATTATCTATTGGAACCCTGTAGGGGTGGACTATTTTGGACCATTTTGTGTGCTCTACACAGCAGCTTAATACTTCAAAACATTTGTTTATGTTTAACCTTGTTTCTTCTCAAAATAGCCAATTTTCACAGTATTGAATTTGCGGAAACTCTAAATCAAAGGGAATTTGATGGATTGCCTTCATTTTTTTACAGTATGTGTATCTTTTGGTCCTTTATGGGATAACCAGACAGTTTTTGAAAATTTGCAATATGTAATTGGTTGCTATGGAAACAGTGTTTTTTTGTGATTCGGACAAAAGTAAAAGACAAAATAAAAATCTGTCTGCTTATCCTATACTACTCAACTTATCCAGCAACTTGATAAGGTTTGAACTTGTTACCTATTTTCCCTTTTAAGATTTTGCTTCCAGAAACTTAGGTGCAAGACGTAGTTATTTCCGGTTTCCATGGAAACCATCAGGTGCATGTCAAATTAAGTATGCTTAAATGTTGTATCATAGTCAGTTCTATATATGTTCCAAATTTTGAGATGATTGATTAAATTGTTTGGAAATTAGAGCTAAAACAGTGATTTTGGTAATTTAGGGTGGACTACCACCATAATTACTCCTCCAAACTTTCCTTCTTTTGTACATTTAAAAAAGAGTACAAATTGGAAACATACCTATCCATTATTGATAACCCAACAATCAGAGTTGCAAAACCTGTTCAAATTTCCTCTGGGTAAAATTTAAAGTTTTCAAACCTTCCTCAAAATAAATTGAATAAATACTAAAATATGGCTTCATCAAATAGCAATATACTAGAGTATATAAGCTTAACTGATTCTGAAAGCATAAAGTTTGAAAGAGACATGTTGTTAATGCCCAGACTGGAAAGTTTGCAAATTGCGCACCCGAGATCAATATTTTCCGAAATTTTGCGCGTCCGATTTCCGAAATTGCGCGTTTGATATGAAATTTTGCGCTGTTGCGCTGTTGCGTGTATATTTTTTACTTAATATAAAAAGCGGTTAACTTTAAGCAGGCTGGGGGTATTGAGGCATTCCCATTTGGCCATTTCCAGTTTTGAAGTTTTCCTAGCGTTATGTCAGTCATTAGCATTAAACTAATTAAAGTATTAAACAAGCAGTCAGGCAGAGAAGTAAGAGAAGCTCGCGAAATCATCGAGTCAAACTATATTTACTGATCAATATAGACCTATTACCTAATACCTATAGTGTATTAGACCATTGACTATTGCTAGTTTACAAATATAAAGTAGTAAAGTACAAACAATATTTTAGTAACATAAAATGATTGTTTATTCGGCTTACCTCTAGACTGAATCCATCTGACCATCTTCTTTTTCTATTATCCATTTATCCGCTAACAAATACCAAATCACCATGCATACATACTGACATACAGTGATACATTACATACATACCGTGAGTGAGTGAGTGAGTCAGTGACTGAATGTTTGTAACCAATAATTGTTTCCCAAAATTCATCAATTACATCATCATGAGCGTTGAAAATTGTTGATAGAAGATGCATGAAAGACAGGCGTCAAAAAATTAGATTCATTGTTGATAAAAACCAACAGGGAAACTAGTTTAAAGGCGCCTTCCTCGAACAGTCAACAGTGGTGGTAGTTAAAGGAGGCAGGAAGGTCATTCAGTTATTAAATGTCTTTTAGCAGCAACCAGCAAACCAGGTGGTGGTTAAAGGAGGCAGGAAGGTACCTCATTTATTAAAACATGTGTATTATCAGCAACCAGGTGGTGGACTGGTGGTTAAAGGAAGGAAGGTCATTCAGTTATTAAATGTCTTTCAGCAGCAACCAGCAAACCAGGTGGTGGTTAAAGGAGGCAGGAAGGTACCTCAGTTATTAAAAGATGTGTATTATCAGCAACCAGGTGGTGGACTGGTGGTTAAAGGAAGGAAGGTCATTCAGTTATTAAATGTCTTTCAGCAGCAACCAGCAAACCAGGTGGTGGTTAAAGGAGGCATGAAGGTACCTCAGTTATTAAAAGATGTGTATTATCAGCAACCAGGTGGTGGTTAAAGGAGGAAGGTTCTTCAGATTTTGAGTTGAACATAGTTGCGTAGTTAAGTTACGTAGAGGAGAACAGCCGGATACTTAATATATTATTAACCAGAATCCAGTTGGCCAAAGCGAGAAAAACAATAATATAATGAGTAAAATGTTAATGAAAAGTTCCAAGTACACAAGAGGATTTCCAGTTGACCAAGGCGAGAAAAGAGTCACGAGAATCCATGTATATCAGGTTAAATTCAGCAATAGTAATAATGAGTACAATGTTAATGAAAAGTTCCAAGTACACAAGAGGATTTCCAGTTGACCAAGGCGAGAAAAGAGTCACGAGAATCCATGTATATCAGGTTAAATTCAGCAATAGTAATAATGAGTACAATGTTAATGAAAAGTTCCAAGTATACAAGAGGATTTCCAGTTGACCAAGGCGAGAAAAGAGTCACGAGAATCCATGTATATCAGGTTAATTTCAGCAATAGTAATAATGAGTACAATGTTAATGAAAAGTTCCAAGTATACAAGAGGATTTCCAGTTGACCAAGGCGAGAAAAGAGTCACGAGAATCCATGTATATCAGGTTAATTTCAGCAATAGTAATAATGAGTACGATGTTAATGAAAAGTTCCAAGTACACAAGAGGATTTCCAGTTGACCAAGGCGAGAAAAGAGTCACGAGAATCCATGTATATCAGGTTAATTTCAGCAATAGTAATAATGAGTACAATGTTAATGAAAAGTTCCAAGTATACAAGAGGATTTCCAGTTGACCAAGGCGAGAAAAGAGTCACGAGAATCCATGTATATCAGGTTAATTTCAGCAATAGTAATAATGAGTACAATGTTAATGAAAAGTTCAAAGTATACAAGAGGATTTCCAGTTGACCAAGGCGAGAAAAGAGTCACGAGAATCCATGTATATCAGGTTAAATTCAGCAATAGTAATAATGAGTACAATGTTAATGAAAAGTTCCAAGTATACAAGAGGATTTCCAGTTGACCAAGGCGAGAAAAGAGTCACGAGAATCCATGTATATCAGGTTAATTTCAGCAATAGTAATAATGAGTACAATGTTAATGAAAAGTTCCAAGTATACAAGAGGATTTCCAGTTGACCAAGGCGAGAAAAGAGTCACGAGAATCCATGTATATCAGGTTAAATTCAGCAATAGTAATAATGAGTACAATGTTAATGAAAAGTTCCAAGTACACAAGAGGATTTCCAGTTGACCAAGGCGAGAAAAGAGTCACGAGAATCCATGTATATCAGGTTAATTTCAGCAATAGTAATAATGAGTACAATGTTAATGAAAAGTTCCAAGTATGGCCAGGTGGGAAAGTGGGTTACCAGTTTACAAGAGGAAAGGCAATTTCGGACGGGAAGTTATAATGCGTTTCAAAACCTTTGAAAGTTCGCCTTCATGCTTTTGCCACGATCGTCGATCTCTGAATACTGGGATGTGATGCTTGTTTAGGCCACGATCCTTGTCTCCATTGATGTACATGTTTGCCATCTCATTGAGTGCGGAATCACATTGAATGACGGACGGGAGACACCAATCAACTTTCGCACGATTCATTAGCACCTGAGTGCTCTGTCCACCTTCCATTTCTTGCTTGTCCACCACCCGGTAGAAAGACTCCGCAACCGCCTCTGTTCCACTCTTGGCATAAAAGATGTCGAAAATGAGACAAAACTCCTGGCCCACAGCTGAGTAGAATGACGAATCCGTGTATAGAGATTTGATTAATGCCTCCTCTTCGAAAAGGACATTCATCTTCACACCATTGCTTAGCTCCAGGTCGAAAACGTCTGAAAGGGTAAATCTCTGTCGTGTGCCCTCTAGGAACTTTGTCACAATCACACCTTCCGGGACGACCAGATCTTTCAAAGAGAACTCCCCGTTATCTTTAATGATGATCTTTTTGAAGAACTGGAAGAAGTGTGTTGGAAACATATCACCCCAGACGATGGAAATAAGCACTTTCTTCAGACGCCAAAACACGGTGGACGCCAGCGCGCTCCCTATCTCCAAATTCTTGTCCCGAATGTGCGGCATCTGTGAGACGTAAACGACACATCGTTGAAACTCATCTGCCCCGAGCTCGGAAAACCTCTTGTTGTCTACTGGGCTTCTGTCTACGGACGAATCGGATCGTTCTTCACATAATCCAACAAATAGTCGGGCGAAGTCGAAGCATTTGGAAAGCAACCGGTTTAGATCAGAGAAGCAATTTTCGTACCGATCTTCCAACTCGTCAATCACATTTGTTGCCAGCTTCTTCAAATCAGCCACGCTGTCTTTTATCTCCCGTGCAGTCCAATTAACTGGCATTTCATCATCGGCCCCATCGTCAACAACGAGCCACCCCGGCTTCAGTCGACTTTGCCCATAGCGCATTCGTCTAATTTCGTCGATTCGCTTGTTTAGTCTTGGACAAACGTAGACATCGGGTTTCTCCAAGTCGTCCAACAGTTCCAACTCGACTTCTTCGTCTTCTTCATCGTCTTCATCACCATTGGCTCGTGTTACTACTGCTTCGTCCTTTGTTATTTCGAGAAGAAAACGCTCAATTTGCATTTTGACCAAAGGAATATGCGAGCATAACTTCCAGCCAGGGTACCATTGTGCTTGTGCCTGCAGCATGAGGGCAACCAAGGGCCACAACAAATCGAGTACACCCAGCAAGTCATGGACAAAATCTTGGCCATACAGCTTGTAGCCAACCTTCTCGCGATTGTCGTGGTCTTTGAACGTCTCGATGTAAACTTCCAAACTATCTGCCAGGTTCCTCAACGACAAGTAGCTGGAGCTCATGAACCGCTGATGTGCATATGCGTTGGTCACCCGAAACGGAAGCTTAAGTTCCTTCGCTGTGTGGCGCGCTACGCTGTGCATCTTACCAAATCTAAAAAGCTGGTGGTAAAGTGCGACTCTCTTCAGCAGACAATCGACGAAACACGAATCTTTGTATTTGCTGAAAACTTTGTCCAGCCAGTGAGCAGGATCCCATTCTATAGGCCACCATAACCTGTCTTTGCAACTCTGGCCATCCTCAAATAGTCGCATGATAGGTTCGTTCATGCCAGCAATGAATGGCTCGTTTAGGTACTGGCCATCCAACACTCTTCCCTGTGCTTGCAAAAGGTGTTCGTCTTTCAAGTCGACATGCTCCTTCAGATCTTTATAAATTGCAGTCGCTAAAGCACCTCCTGTACCACCAGTCCCATCAGAATTTGTGTATACCTCCCTGGCATCTAGGATTATTCCTTCTCGCGTACCATTCACAACGGGGCATATAACGGTGACCTGGTTGGTAATGCGATGGTTGGTGGACTTGTCGGCGGTTATATAAAAGTGCGGTGGCATTCCTGTGTTTGGAAGAGGAGTAGAGAGGAAGTCGGCGGTCTTCTTGTCGATATAGGCGCATGCCACTTTAATCATTTCAGGAAACATTTTTCGTGAATGACCAAAATCGCCAACATCAGCACCAGCTGCTTGGAGTTCGGCAATGCGCTCCTCGTACTGTATTGCAGCTGACTTTGTCTTGACAACTCCAATAGCAGCACGGAGTTGGTTCTTGGCAACAATCATCTCCCTGGATCTGCCTTCATTGAGCAACTTCATGTGACGCACAGCGTTGTTGTGCGTTTCGGAAGAAAGATGTTGATGAATGGCTTGTTTCTGGTGGTACCATTAGTCGCACTTACCAGCAGTAAGTTGTTTGTATAGATCATCTGACAAGTGAAGACCGCTGGCCAAACTTCCATCGGCCTTGCCAGAGGGTCGACGAGACGAAGACGTATATGATGCTTGAGGAGAAGATAAAAACGCTGCACAATTGCTACACCGCAGTACCCGGCTATTCTCCTCAAAAAGTAACTCAAAATCAGGCACTTCGTCTAGAAGTTCAATCAAATTACTTGATTGAAGTGATAGTTTAGCTGAAGGGTTAAAAGGGATTGCTGAGGTCTTTTCTTTTTTCCCGTATTGAGGACCAAGCTTTTTAACCACCCTATTTGCGATCTTTTCCGCTAGATCCTCAATATTGAAAGGCATGTTGGTGATGTTGCCGGATTCCTTCTCGGAAAGGGAGGGAAGGAAACTATCCAGCGAACTTTGAAAAATAGGACCCATGTTACGGCTGGAGGTGGGATCGACCACAGTTGTCAAATCAACTGAATCTCCGCTTACAATTGGTCCACTGTTACAATTGAAATGTTAGGACTAATCAATAACAAAATTTCGTATAAGAACCTTAGTCATTAATCGCAATAGGGGCCTCGTATCATGGGATTAGGAAATGGAAATAAACGTGGGAAAACAAACGAAAACTGCTTGTCAAGCCAAATTAAGATTATATTGTGTCGACCTTAAATTTGTTTCTTGTATTGATTCGTACGGGAAAATAAGAACTATTCCCCGCTGTGGCTCGATCCTAGGATACGAGGCCTCAATGACGATTTATGAATAAGGTAATACTCAAAAATAAAAAAATATTACCACGTTCACATATTACAAAATTTATAAGACGTTAAAACAAAGACATATTCATACGATAGCGTGAATAAATCAGCAAAAATTATTTTGAAGTTTAGTATACTAATTTCCGATTCTACATATTAAAGCTGTAAAATATGCAGCGTGCTTGCAAGGCCAGGTGATCTCGGAATTCGGAAAAGGCCTGGCACTAGTTGTAAAATAGAAATCCATTTCTGGTTTAAAATTACTCAAAATCTCATCAACGGTATTAGATTTCTATTTCAAATTTGTCCCAGACATTCATTTCCCTGTGCAAGACTCAGACACAAAGTTTCAAACAGTTTCACAAACGAATCAGGGCGTGATAAGTGATTAAAGGTACGAAACTGGATTTCTATTCTGTTGCTAGTCCCAGTCCTTTTGCTCACCGTCAGATCACCTGGAATGCAATCGCAAATTAGCTACATTTTAAACTTCTAAACGATGATACTCTTTGTCTCTTTCAAACGATAATTTTAGAGGATAGCTCAAAGCTAAATTTGTCAATCTGTATGCTCTTTAGAAGCAAGAAAACAATTTTTGAGCTAAGACATACTGTTAAAGGTAAACTATTAAGGTGAGTATTCGGTTGCAGCCAAGTCAGCAACAACATAGGAAGCATTCAGTCATAAAATCGACAATCGTGATTTGTTTGCTGTATATTGGCATCCCAGAACCTAGATGCTTAGTTTTGCATTCAAAACGTCACTAAGTTTACAAATACATCATACTTATATGAAAAACTTACGTTAGTGGCGTTACTGTTGGCTCACTTGGACTTGGCTGTGAAATAGCAGAACTACAAAGAAAAACACTTCAATCAATACAAGGTTGCCATCAGTCACTCACACCATGTTTTATGTTATATGTGTTAAATTAGTTGCAGGCTATTTTCACGTGACATCATACCTTTCTTGTACCATATCTGGCATACACTATAATATACCAATACCGTTTCTTGGTCCTTGAGTTGAACAACAAGAATACAGTTAAAAGAGTGAATTTGTAAGAATATAAAGTGACAAACCTTTCTCCTTTTTCGTCATCCTTTTCCAATGGTGCATCATCCTTTTCCAATTGTGCATCATCCTGGATCTCCTGGCTATCACTGACGCTGACCACTTTATCTTCACGTTGACGCTCAAACTGTTCTATAACTTCACTATAGCACAAAATTTGAAATTTATCATTTTAGTTTCTATTGCCGATCAGTTCATAATGTATATGTACAGTATATGGTTTAATTGATTAACTCTAGTGTGATTTTATATATATTATACAGTACATACGCCATAGTTAAATCACTATCAACATCCAAATCCATACAGGTGGTCTTTTGTGTTTGAGGTGGTTCCGATTGGACACTAGTCACACCACCACTTCTCTTCTCTTGATTCCTACTACAGTAAGAGTTCAAGTACAACAGTTTATAGCACAAATGGGAGGATTCACAATTTGTTAATGTTACAAGAAATCCAAACTGACCTGCTGCAACATATCACATATGCATTTACAAACAACACCAGTCTCCAAAGCTTATTTTATTGAGTATACATGTACTTGAGTACTCAATAACTTAACTTGGAACTTTCCAAATACATGTATACTGTACATAAATATAAGTAGAACAGAACTGTTAGGTTTTGAGTTTCACCTACCTAGATGAACTTGCAGCAGATGATGCAAATCTACGTTTGTATTCCTTCATTGCCTCTGCAGCAAGAGGTGAACTTTCGGGCACAACATCATTGGCTTTCGTACTTTGGTTTTTGTGTACTCTGGAAAGGTGGTTAGAAAGAGTGGATGCATTTCCCCTTGCCAACCAAAATTTCTGTTTCCCTTCACGGAAACAAAGCAGACAGAACCCCATTGGTGTTTTGCCATGACCACCTTTTGCTCGCTTGGCCACTGGTGCCGCCAACTTCCCTGACTGTTTTCCAAGCTTTTCATACCAATTCGTTTCTAGAGTAAATATAGTAAAAAAGTTTCCTGATAAATATAGAAGACTATGATGAGTTATGACTTTATAGCTACCTATAGTTATGTGATACTGATATTATAATCTCTTTACCTTTCTCTGATATCTTTCTCTTTGGTGGAGCCTCTCCTTTAGTTGCTGCACAACTAGCACTGCTGCACCAAAACCTTCTTCATCATCCTCATTCAATTTTGCACAAGGTGGAATAGCATGGCAGGCTTTCTTGCAAACTTTGCAAGAATGACTCCCACAATATTCCTTCTTGCATGAAACACACACTATGCAACAGGAAAAGCAAATTAATTAATTAATCCTAGATTCCTAGATCACTAATCTTAACTAATCTTAGATAACTAATCTTAGATCACTAAGTGTGACAAGGTGTTTTGGTTGCATATCCTAATAAGTACTAATAACCATGTAATAACCAACCATTAATCACAAAGAACTACCTAACTACCTGTTAATAAATTATTTTTGGTGTTATTATTATTATATCTATACAATAGAATTGGACATAGAAAAATAGAACATGAAAAATGAAGCACCTGGAGCTGGCGGAGCAGAAACGGAGGATTGGAGGAACACTCATAACAACATAAGTCACCTAACCCCTCTGCCCATCTGCCCTCTGTGAGCCTGCCACTGACTCACTGAGCGTCTGAGCCTTAGTCCAGAGTCGGAGCCGAGAGTCCCTGATGGCTGACCCAGACCTTTTACGATTACGACCTTCACTAACTAAGTTATACACATATATATAGCCTATATACGCTTTGCTTTTTGTATATAAAGACAGACCTTAGAGGGCCAGAGGCTTATTGGTTATGGCTTACCTGCTTCAACAATTATTTCAATATCGTCCGACACGCCTGCCATTATTTTTTCACCACAAAACAAGGAAATGAAGGAACTGTGGAATGTGCAAGGAAGAGTTTAGTATACTCAGTTAGCCAGTTTGGACTTTGCCTTTTGGCACATTGGAAAATGAAACACATACAAAATTGTAATTTTAAGTAATGTGTGAATGGTGTGAATGTCAGAATGTGTGATGGAAATTGTCAAACTAATTGAATTGTTTATTGTTATTCTGATTTAATAGTGTAACTGTGTAAGCAGACAACTGAGACAAGCAGTGTTCAGTGTTCTCACAGTTCTAGACTTCTGGTGTTCAGCTGAATAGAATTCCGTTTAGTTGTCATTGCTCATTCAGACTTTTCACTTTTATACTCCTTTGACTTTTGAGTTTAGACTGTTTTTATAATCAATAATCATAGGCTGTAGGCGTCCGCCGGTTTGATAATTTGATAACATATTACATATACAGTATAAGGTATATTGTTAAATAGTATTAAACATTTAAACTACTAAACTGTAAATGTGACGCCGCAACCTGCCAACCTATGGGCTATGGCCGCAACATGCGCCGGTGGCGGTTGCCGGTTGGCCGACTGCGTGACTTGGCTCGCAAATTAAAATTTTGTTGTGATACATTTCACAGCGTTTACATTGCCAGTGTCTCCGTCGAAATACCCCAGTGATAGAAGGGTATTAAAGGGAAAAAGGACTTCATGTAGCCTTGAAATTTCAGATTAAAAGTGCCTTAAAGTTTAATTAAACAACCGACCGTTGTGGCAGCACGCCAGACGCACGAGGCTGCTTTAAAGTGATTTTATCATTGAATAACTTGAATTCACCACACCAATTTCCATAAACGCGAATAGAACAATTAATACTACATTTGCATACACTGATAAACACATAATATATACTTACTTCACACAATTGAACTTTGAAAACTCCCCTGAAAATTTTTCACAGCAAAAATATTCCACAGAAGTGCAGAACGAAACGTCAAACGAGTGTCGAGTAAACGATAGTTGCTTTGAAAACCTGTCACTAGATCAAATTTCTCAACCGCAAACGTATGTGTCTGTTTATAGCTAAGTAAGTCGAATCGGAAGTTAATAATTAAAGATGTTTTTCATTGTTTGCCTCGCTGCCAAGCCATCTTGTGTCGCGCGATGCGCATCTCAACTTCCATTTCGCGCATAGATATTCGCGTGTAAAGCTTCTCATTCGCGCGCGCTTCTCTCACTTCCCAGTGCGCATTTTCTTACGCTCGCGTTTTTACGCGCGCCGCGCGCGTTCTCGCTTTCCTCGTATTCCAAGTGCGCGTTTGAGCTTGCAATATTGCGCAATAACTTTTCAGAAGCGCGAAAAGCGCGGCTGATTTCGAAAGTGCGCGTTTCTTCGGAGCATTTCCAAAATCTGCGCGTTCAGACGCGCATTTTGTCCGAAATTGCGCACCCGAGATCTCGGTTGCGCAATACAAACTTTCCAGTCTGGGTTAATGCAGTACATGATTCTAATATATAGTTTGCAGTAATAAATTTATACTTTGGACAAATTGGATAGTCCTTACCTACTATATCTACATCCTATACATATGATGCATGATTTGGTCACAACCTTCCTGTCAATATTTCAACTGAAGTTGTTGATTTTATGCCTGTACACATATATAGAGGTCAGCAGTAAAACCATGGCAACAACATTCCAGGGGTGGTATTTGATCTTGATATGTGTCGGTACTTGTGGTTTTGAAAGGCATTTGAGAGTGTTTAGGTCTTTAGATGTGTGACCCAATCGCCCAATTACACAGTCAGCGAATGCTCTCACTTGTTTCCGAAGCAAAGTGCTAAATTTAAACCAGTTTTTGTTAGATAGATATTTTGCAGTTCTGTATTACATGGAATGATTATTATTTGTGTAGTATATTTACAAAAAAAAAGTGCTGGCCTCCTGTTATAACCAGGAAGGCTAGGCTAATCAAGACAGGTGGTCATTAATATATTACAATAGTATTATTTAAACAGTGTTACAAGAAGGTGCAATCAAAATTAAAAAGATTAGAGAGCAAAGTGCACAAAACACACAATGTACAAAAAAAACCCCAACAAAACAACAAGAACAAAACAAAACTCAACACCAGACAAGAAAAAAAATATGATTGACTCATACACATAGTAATTACACAGATAGCTAGTAGTAATCAATTAACTGTCGTTTTAATTTCTTTAAAAGAAGATTTGCTCAGAGATTTAATAGACTCATCAATATCATTCCAGGTCTTAGGGCCAATAAATTGTATATTGAACTTTCCATAGTTAGTGCGAGGTTGAGAAAGGGATAAGGATGATTTCGCAGAAAGCCTTGTATTATAATGATGCTTGGAACTAACTGGTGAAAAAAAGTTAACTCATATGGAAGTTTGTTGTTATTAAATTTATGCATAAATAATGTTGTATTAAGTAAGACTAAATCAGAAAATTCTAGGAGTTTAAGTCTCTTAAAAATAGGTGAGGTGTGTGCCAGATAATGTGAAAGTGTTATTATATGTATTGCCTTCTTTTGAAGAATAACTATTGGCTGAATATTTGTCTTGTACGTATTTCCCCATATTACTACACCATATGAAATGAATGGGAAAATAATGGAATAATATAATTGCATATTTGTAGGAACAAAATGACGTAACTTAAGCAAAACTCCAACACTTCTCGAAACTTTTTTTGATAATTCGTACACATGTTCCTTCCAGTTAAGATGGCTATCAATAATGATTCCCAAGTATTTAATATTATATTTTTGTACAATTGATGTATTATTTATTTTAAGATCTATTGAGTAGTTTATTTTCTTTTGTGGTGTATGAAATAATACAATGTCAAAAGAATAGCATGTGTAGTTGAGTGATTTGATCGAAATCCAAACTGACCTTTAAAAAGACATCATTCAACTCAGGTATATTAATGCCTGGGTCTGCCCACGCTTGGATAATGTCTTGCGTGTGTGTTGCACGCGCAATCTGTCAGTAATGCGTCTGTTAGAATATGCGCCCCCTGTGTGAGTATTTTAGTGAATTCGGGCGTTTGCTTCAAATCAAACTATAGTATATATGAGCGACAGGACTATTTTGGAATATACAATGCAAAGAAGTCGGTATACTATTCAGTTTTCATGTAATAATTGGCTCTTTGTATAGCAATAAGTATTGTATCATTTGCAACAGCTGACCTTTGAACTGCTGATAAATAAAAGCTTCTTATAGTGTTATCTTGCTATTATTCAGTATTAATTGTCGATTGTTTCTTATTTTCAATGAAAAATTGCTTGTGAATTATAAATTAATTATAGCACGTATAGTTTAGTCGGTCTTTTCCACCATGGCATGCTTTCCTTCAAGCATTAACTATGCTTCAAGATATCGGCTTGAATGCGCAATGAATGTTGTTATTGGAAATATAATATCCCTTACAATAAGCGGCAGACTGTTTTGCAGCAGGGTAATTTGACGAAATCTTGCTATTTTTATTAGCTAAAAACATTAACAAGGGAACAAAGTTTCTTGCGTTAATTTGGAAATCGAACATTTATTTGTAGATAACATTTAATGATGTGATTAACATTTGTTTGATGCCGATCGTCGTAATATAGCTGAATAAAATAATGAAACGAAGCCTTAATAAACAGTGATATTATCGTGTGAATGATTATCGCAATTCTGCGTCCTCTCAGTCACGAATTTTCGAAATATACATCACGTGATCATTGCCATGACAACGAAAAGTAGGTCAACATTTAGAATCTCCTTTGATAAATCATATAAACCTTGAATGGTAATAATCAAGGCCATACTTATTTTTTCATGATTTTTTGTCTATTTTCGCTAAATACACAAACTGAGACCCAGGCATTAACATACCTGAGAAATCCAAAAATTCCACCAGTCTCTTGTGCATTAGCTTTTCTAATAATTTATTAAATACGGATAGTAGTGATATAGGACGATAATTGGAGGCAAGAGTTCTGGTACCTTTTTTGTGGACAGGAATTACCCTAGCAATTCTCAGTTGATCAGGCACAACCATAGGTAGCCCAACAATCAGTGTTATTAATTCATTTCTGTTCAATAAAATCATACTACTACTTAGTCCCAACTGCATTGTTTACGCGCGGTCAAATCATGTACGTATCCCTATGGTAATATCATAGATTAAGAAATAAATAGATGGCTCACTCCTTTGAAGTTTTTGATGCCACCGACAGGTGCGACTTCCGGTTGGCCGCCATTACTCTGGCCAGTAAAGTGCAGCCAGAACGAATAGAAAATATATTGTGAAATTGGCATCATTTTTACCGGTTTTGGACACCCGAATTAAACCGTTTACGGTCGGAAATCAAAATTAGAAAGGTAAGAAAGTATTATTATCTGTTTTATTAGCCCTGAAAATGTTTTTTAAGTCAAATTTTGTGCTCTTAAATATGGCTAGTTCGGCCAGCCAGACATATATAAAAGAACAGCTTTTCGTCCCATTTGCTGTATGTTTTCATTCGAAAGTAACATGAATATTACTTCTTGCAATAGATATACAGTATATCTGATGTATATTACAGTTTCAGTATATATGTCTTTTCATCACCATTTCTAAAATAAACATGTCTTTTTAATAAGTTCACTGTTTTCGTGAATTACATATTTATCTACTAAATTTTGCCCAACTTATTCAGATGCAACCCAGATGGTTTCAAACTATGTAGAATATAGTTTATAAACTGCTATATGCAGGCTAGTTTATAGATGGCTAACTTTAATGTACTTTCTGCTCATTCTTTCTTTTTAAGTTGAAGTTGTCAGTTTTCTGGTTTCGAACTTGATGGTGTAATATATACGTATCCCGAGAAAAAGCTTTAACATGTAGTCCATGGGAAACTCTGGGCAACAATGGAATGTGATGGACACACTTTGGATGCTCTTTAGCAAATTAGCACCAACTAATGGTGGCTTCTTTGCACAATGAGCATTCATGAACAGT